GTTCCTGATCCATTTGGTGTTGGGCATGTATACAAAACACTACAGCAATATTTATGCTTCTATAGTTATTGCTTCTCTATTCATAATTGTTTTGGTGGAGGTTCCACTCAATCCACCCAACCTTCCATCCCCCATTTACCTCCAAACCCTGCTGCATCTCAGAAAGTCTGTCTAATGTTGGGCACTCCCCCAGGGGTACTCAAATAACACTCACATAGGGTATTTAAACAGTCCCCCAGAGAACACACTCATGGTTTTTCTGGTCTCCCTTTCCCGGTCTCCTCTCTGGGTGGTTGGAAGGCCATCTGGCAGTGCTGTATCCATTAAATGTTGACTTTTTCTAATTTGGTTTGATGTGGTCTGATTTAGATTGCTAAATCAGTGGAGAGGCTTATTGGGATACAGAAACTTTGCATTAATACCCAAAAACTTTAAACAACTTAGATGTCCATAAATTTGTGAGTGTATAATGAAGATGTGGGATGGTTACACAAAGCATAATTATTCAGTTGTTAAAAAATATAAAATGCCAACTGCCACTGAGTCTCCCATCCAGGCATGAGCCAATGCACCCCAGAATCCTGGTCTCCTTCTCCACCCATGGAACCAGGACCTGGAAGAGGAGAACTACCAGAGAATTGGACTTGCTTGTACCCACAGAAAAGGAACCCTGATCCCCTACCCACCAGGAGAGGAAGAGTCTATTTCAGAACCTACTGGAAGAAGGGATGGGAAAGAGACAATACAAAAAGACACTTGGCATCAAGAAACAAATATGACACTGCCAGAGTCTAGAGTCTCTACACCAGCAAGACTCAAACATTCCAATGCAAAGGAAGCAGAAGAAAATGATCTTAAAAACAACTTCATGAAAATGATAGAGGCCCTCAAATAAGATATGAGAAAATCCCTTAAAGAGACAGAAACAAAAACAAACAAAAATGCAAGAAATGGAGGAAAAGACAAAATTGTAAGAAACAATACAAACACTACAAGGGGTGAAAGGTGAAACAGAGACAATAAAAAGAAAGCACAGTCTGAAGGAATGTAGGAACTAGAAAAGCTGGGCAAACATTCATGTACTACAGATGCAAGTATACCCAACAGAATACAAGAGGTAGAAGAGAGAATCGTAGGTGTTGAGCCACTAGGAAAAATAGATTCTTAAGTCCAACAAATCCCTAACACAAAATATTCAAGAAATATGGGACACCGTGAAAAGGCTAAACCTAAGAATAATAGGTATAGAAGAAGGTGAAGAAAACCACCTCAAAGGGGCAGAAAATATATTCAGCGAAAACAGAAAAAAATGTTCTCAATCTAAAGAAAGACATGCCAATGAAAGTACAAGAAGCTTACAGAACACCAAATAGAGTGGACCAGAATATAAAGTCCCCTTGCAACATAATCATCAAGACCCCAAATCTACAGAATAAAGAAAGAGTATTAACAACAGCTAAGGAAAATGGTCAAGTAACATATAAAGTCAAACCTGTCAGAATTACACCTGACTTCTCCAAGGAATCTCAGAAAGCCAGAAGTTTCAGGATACATACTCTACCAACATATTCTAAGAGACCACAGATGACAGCCCAGACTACTATACCCAGAAAAGCTCTCAATCACTATCCCTCATGAACATTGCTGCAAAAATACTCAATAAAATATTGGCAAATTGTATTCAAGAACACATCAGAAAAATCATCGAACATGATCAATTATGTTTCATCCCTGGGGTGCAGGAATGGTTCAACATACTAAAATCCTTCGATGTAACCCACCCTATAAACCAACTGAGAAACAAAAATCACATGATTATCTCACAAGATGCTGAAAAAGCCTTAGACAAAATCCAACACCACATCATGATAAAGGTCTTGGAGAGATCCGGGATAACAGGATCATACCTAAACATAATAAAAGCTATATACAGCAAACCAACAGAGAATATCAAACTAAATGGAGAGAAACTCAAGGTAATTCCTCTAAAATCAGGAACAAGACAAGACTGTTCCCCTGTCTTCATACCTCTTCAATATTTTACTTGAAGTTCTAGCTAGAGCAATAAGGCAAAAAAAGGGAGATCAAGAGGATACAAATTGTAAAAGAGGAGATCAAACATTGGAGATGATATAATAGTTCCTATAAGTGACTTCACAAAACTCTACCAGGGACCTCCTACAGCTGATAAATACTTTCAGCAAAGTGGCAGGATACAAGATCAACTCAAGAAAATCAGTAGCCCAAATGGGCTAAGAAAGAAATCAGAGAAATATCACACTTTACAATTGCAACAAACAACATAAATTACCTTGGGATAACGCTAACCAAATAAGTGAAAGACCCATTTTGCAAGAACTTTGAGTCTTTAAAGAAAGAAATTAAAGAACACACCAGAAATGGAAGGATCTCCCAGCCTTTTCGATAGGTATGATACGTGTAGTAAAAATGGCAATCTTGCCAAAAGCTATCTACAAACTCAATGTAGTCCTCATTAAAATACCAGCACATTTCTTCACAGGCCTTGAAGGAACAGTTTTCAAATTTATATGAAAAAACAAAAGACCCAGGATAGCCAAAACAACCCTATTCAAAAAAGGAACATCAGGAGGCATCACCATCCCTGACTTCAAGCTCTGTTATAGAGCTATAGTCTTGAAAACAGCTTGGTGTAGGCACAAAAAATAGACAGGAGTCTAACGGAATCTAATTGAACACACCAATATTCACCCATACACGTTGGAACACCTAATCTTTGACAAAGAAGCTAAAGTTATACAGTAGAAAAAAACAAACCATCTTTAACAAATGGTGCTGGCATAACTGAATGCTGGCAAGTAGAAGACTGCAGATAGATTCCATGTCTATTGTCATTCACAAAACTTAAGTCCAAATGGTTCAAAGGCCTCAACATAAATCCAGCCACACTGAACCTCTTAGAAGAGAAAGTGGGTGGTACCCTTGAACTAATTGGTACAGGAGACTGCTTCCTGAACATAACTCCAGTAGCACAGACACTGAGATTGACAATTAATAAATGGAACCTCCTGAAACTGAGAAGCTTCTGTAAGGCAAAGGACACAGCCAGCAAGACTAACAGGCAGCCCACGGAGTGGGAAAAGATGTACATTAACCCCACACCTGACAGAGGGCTGATCTCCAAATATACAAAGAATTCAAGAATCTAGTCTCCAAAACACCAAAGGATTCAATTAAAAAGTGGGGTACCGAACTAAATAAATAATTCTCACTATAGGACTCTAAAATGAATGAGGGACGCCTAAGAAGGTACTCAATGTCCTTAACCATTAGAGAAATGCAAATTAAACAACTCTGAGATATCATCTTACTCCTTCCAGAATGGCGATAATCAAAAACATCAATGAGAGTTTATGCTGAAAAGAATGTGGAGATAGGGGATCATTCCTCCGCTGCTTGGGGGAATTACAAACCATGCAGCCACTTTAGAAATAAGTAGGAAAATGGGAATCAGTCTACCACAATACCCATCTATTCCACTCTTAGGCATATACCCAAAAGATGCACATTCATACAACAAGGACATCTGTTCCACTATGTTTATAGCATTCATTATTTGTAATAGCCAGATCCTGGAAGCAACCTAGATGCCCCACAACTGATGAATGAACAGAGAACATGTCTTACATTTACACGATGGAGTACTATTAAGCAGAAAAAAATGGTATCTTGAAATTTGCAGGCATATGGATGACACTAGAAGAAACCATCCTGAGTGTAGTAACACAGTCACAAAAAGACAAACATGATATGTGCTCACTCATATATGGATTTTAGACATGGATCGGGGAGTGCCACACTATAATCCAACTTCCAAAGAGTCTGGGAAACTGAAGGACCCTAAGAGAGATATGCATGGTAGCTCAGAGAAGGAGAATGAGGCAAGATATCCTGAACAAGCAGGAGCATGGGTGATAGGAGAGAGGGAGCTGAGAAATAGAGAGGGGAAGAATGTTAGGGGAGAAGAGGATATGGAAGATCAGGAAGCTTGAGTAGGTGAAGACTACAGGAAAGCAGGATGACAGATAACATAATGGGGTCATTATAGGCTTCAGGAGAGAACTGGCACTACTGAGATTTCCAGAGATCTACAAGGATGACCCCAACTGGCAAACTAAGCAATAGTGGAGAGGCTACCTTAAGTGCCCCTCCCTGATAATGAATTTGACAGCTACCTTATGTGTAATCCTAGAGCCTTCATCAACTGACTGATGGAAGCAGAGGCAGACTCACACAGATAAACATTGAACTGAACTCCTGGGACCCAGTGACAGAGAAGGAGGAGTTATGAGCAAAGTGGTAAAGACTGGGCTGGCAAAACCTTCAAAATACAGCTGATCTGAACAAGAAGGAGCTATTGATGGCTGAGAGGCCAGTATGGGACTGATCCTGACCCCCTGAATGTGGGTGTCATTGATGAGGCCTAGGCAATTGGTGGGGTCTTGGGTAGTAGATAAGTTTTTAACCCCAGCATACAAATGGACTCTGGGTGCCCAACCCACAATGAGGGATGCTCTCTCAACCTGGACTCTTGGGGGAGGGCCTATACTTTGCTCTGAAAGAAAAGACAGACTCTGGAGATCCCCCATGGAGTGCCTCACCCTCCTGGGGAATGGAGTGGGGATTAGGTGAGGGGGTGGGCTGGTGGGTGGGTGAGGGGAGGAAGAGGTACCTGGGATTGACATGTGAAGCAAACTTGTTTCTAATGTAAATAAAAAATAAAAATATATAAAATGCTCAGGACCTATTAATGGTTTTGATTATAGTATAGTGACGAGTTGACACATGCAGACAGTATGATAATTTAAAGAATATAATAAACATTTTGTCCTAAATACTTGCTAGAAGTCATAGAACACTTGAAATTTTGTAGGTTTTTATTTTATTTTGTACATATTTCCTGATTAATTTTAATTTAAATTAAAAACATTTTTACATACCAATCTCAATTCCCTCTCCCTGCTGTTATCCAATTGCCCCACCATCTCTCCATCCCACCCCCATCTGCTCCTTAGTGGGGGTGAGGCCTCTCATGGAGAGATCATCAAAGTGTCACTTTGGGGCAGGAACAAGACCCTTCACCCTGTATCTGGGCAAAGAGAGTATCCCTTCATAGATAATGGGCCCCAAAATACCAGTTCATACACTAGGGACAAATACTGGTTCTACTGCTAGCAGCTTTATAAACTGCCCAGGCCTCCCAACTGGCACCCATGTTCAGACACCACACTCAAGGAATCCAGTTATTTTATTTTACTTTTTAAGTAAAATGTTTTCTTTTTCCACACAATACATCCCAACCACAGTATCTCTTCCCCCAACTCTTCTGAACTCTTGAAATTTTTCATAATTTGAGATAGAAGCATTGAGACATACGTACAAAAACTAAGAATGGAAACAATGAAATACATAACAATGTTCATTTATCACATGAGGCTAAAATAAGGGAATTACAGAAAGACAGAACACTGCTTATGTCAAATATTTTAAAATTCAAATTCATACAATGAAACAGTAGAATGGAATTCAGGGAACCAAACTTGTTAATTAATGGGTAGGGAGTTAGAGTCAGGAGGGATAAAGTAAGCTCTTGAGATCTGAGGTACAAAATGTGAAGTTGTAAAAAATGTTAAAAGTGTAGATTTTATATTCATCTTGGCAAGAAGATAACACATTTTAAAATAGAACTTTGTTTTTGAATGAGGTTTTCTTGTTGCTGTCATTTCTGAAACATTTAAAAGTTACCTCCACCTTTCTTTAGCAGTATCTGCAAAACAGAAACATCCATAATAAGCCAATTTATAGAACAGTATAGGAGAATAAAAGTTTAACTTGTGACATTCTTAGCTATGCAGAATAGGGAGATATTTATGGGGTGATGTGGAAACATAGTGAGTTCAGTGGAAACTTCCTGGTACCTATGACTGTGACCCTATCCATGTTTCCTAGTAATAGAAGATATGAACAATGGCCTGAGCCAGCCATCCTCAGTAACCAGTCCAGGCTTCCACTGGAGGGACTGGGACACTAATTCAGCCACAAAACCTTCTACCCAACCCTGTCCTCCCTGTAAGATGTGTTGGATCAATGGTGGCTCAGAACTTGTGGGAGTGGCCAACCTATGACTGGTCCAACTTCAGGCCCAAGCTAGTAGAGGGAGCTAGTGTCAGCAAGAACTGGAAGAAGTATTGGCTCAGAGACCTCAGGGTGAAACCTAACATGACTGACTGCTCCCCATTCCAACACATAAAACCTGTCAAAATGATTCTTAATGATATTTCACAAAATCAGATCGGTGTCTAGCCCAATTGCCGCCAGAGAGGCTTCCTTTGGAAGATGATGAAATCAGATGCTGAGTCCCACAGTTAAACATTAGGTGGAGCTAGAGGAACCCCGCAGAGAGGGGGAGGAGGAATTGTAGGAGGCAGAGGGGTGAGGACTCTAGGAGAACATAACTCCCAGAATCAACTGAACAGGGCTCATAGACTGAAGAGAAGACTACAGAGCTTGCATGAGTCTGTGCTAGGTCCTCTGCATACTTGATATGGTTGTTTAGCCTGAGGTTTTGTGGAAGTCTCTGACTTTTTTTGCCTTCTCTTGGGGCCATTTTCCTTTACTGGGTTGCTTTGTCAAGCCTTCACATAAGACTTTGTGCCTAGTCTTACTGCATTTTGTTATTGTGTGTTCCATTGATATTACTGAGAGGCCTGATCTTTTCTGAAGTGTAAAGGAAGAATAGTCGATCCCAGGGGTGTGAGCAGGGAGATGGAGGGGACAGTAGGAGGAGTGGAGAGAAGAGGGGAGACTGAGGTCACTATATATTTTATGAGAGAAGAAAAAAACAGAGCAACAAATACTGACTTATATTTTTACTGTTGGTATTATTCTCATTAGAGTTTAAACCATTTGTTTATGAACTTTAGTGCCATTGTAAATAAAATTTCAGGGTCTATGGAGATGGCTTAGTCAGTAAAGTGGTTGCTAAAGCATTGACCACACAAGCATGCAGACTGAATTTGAATCACAGTAGGGACATAAAATCATGCGTGAAGGGTCAGAAAGAAAGACAGATATCTAGAGTTCATTGGCTGGTTAGCCTTATCTGAATCAACAGTTAGACACCCTGTTTGAAAACATAAAGTGAGGAGCCATTGAGGAAATCACTGATGTTGAACTCTAGTCTCCACATTCAAGGACACATATATGCATTCTCATTTGCACAAACATGTGCATGCACTCATCTGCGTGAATGCTTTTGTACCTCTCTCTCATCCTGAACACTCAAGTAATGAAAGAAAATAATAAAACATTCAAAGTGTATTCTGTCATTTATTTTCTTCCAGTGAATGTTACATATTTATAGTTCATACTAACATATACCTGTAAGGTAATGTTCAATTTTAATTAATAACAATGTTTTGTTTTCATCTGGCTCAAACTAAATTTTGATTTTTTAGTTTTCAGTGTGTGTGTGTGTTTGTATGTGTGTGTTTGTATGTGTGTGTGTGTGTGAGTGTGTGTAAGAGTGCTTACATTGCATACCACAGTACATGTGTGTGAAATTTAGAGGACAACAATATAAAGTTAATTTTCTCTGTTTGAGATTTCTGAGTAGTGAACTCAAGTTTTGCCCCTTTACTCTTTGTTTGACATTGAAAATACTTTCTATTTTTTTTCTTGAACTCTTTTATTTTTCCGTCATTTTATAATTGTTTACTTTAGGTGCAGCAATTAGGAGTAAGTTACATATCTAAGTAAGAAAACTCACAATTTCTTTGTTATTAATAAAAATGTCAAAGGGAAATCCAAAATCAACTTAGGTATTTTTTGATTGTTGTAAACCCAGTGTAACAATATAGGATTTCATCCTATAACTGATGTTAATAGATACATTTATGTTACCCTTCTGTTGCATGTAATAGTTAGCTTTTCAATGGTCTTGCAAAATTTCATAACTTTATAACTAGTATTTATTGCTTTCTCTTGTTAAAGTAAAATAGAAATGAATCAAACCAACAAAGGAAATTAATTCAGTTTCATTAGAAATCCTTCATGCCAGGGGATATAGGCCACCAAACTCTGACCTTTCCTCTGTTGTTTAATGTCCAATATGTTTGTTGCGAGGACTGTTCTAATGAATAGAAAGTGATTAGTTTAAAACAACAGAAAATAACAGGCTGAAGTTATGTATTTCTATCATCATTCCAGCATTTAGGAAATAAAGCCATTCTGCTCTATAATAAGTTTAAAATCAACCTAGGCTAAACAGAAAGACCCTGACAATTTCTAAAGAAGAAAACATAGATGGAATGAAGGATGGAAGGAAGAAAGGAAGGAAGGAAGGGGGAGGGGGAAAGGAGAGAAAGAGGGAAGGAAGTAGAATGGTAAGAGGGAGGAAGAAAGGAAAGAATCCAGGCAGCCATGCACGCAAACAATTTTAGGATCATTTGGGTGCTAGAGACAAAGGTGTTCATAGGCTTTGACCCTTAGAAACCTGTACTGTGTCCCCTCTGCCTTTTTTTTTTTAACAATAGTGGTCTGTTGTAAATCCTGGCTTTGCTTGACTTAGAACTGTTGAAATTCTGTGTCCACTCTAATTATCATGTGCTCCTTTTTTCTGTCTGTCTCTGTCCTTGGAAGGTCACATTCTTGAGAATGCCAATAACATGAGAAACCTTCTAAAGTGAAATAATATAGGAATCAGCTATCAGTGACAACAGCATAAATCCCAAATTATCACAGCCAAAATACAAAGCGTCATCTGATAGCCATATTGACAGGTGTTTTGGTACCCTATAGTAGCTTTCTCAAATGACTCAATAAGCCAGCTCAAGTCACACTAAGACAAAGCTTAATGAGCCAAGGACTCCAGGGTATCCTTTCTAGCATCCCAGAGTTGAGGTGAGGAAAGGGAGGAAGGGAAATCACATGGCTGGTATAGAGACCAGGAATTAAATACCATGTAGGCATGGTCATGAGACTTAGGGAATGAATCAGGACTTTTAATAACAAATTCCTAAGGTCGTGGCAGTTAACTGACCCACACCTCCTGCTGAACATGAACCAACCTATTGCAGATTTCCCCTACTCATATTGTCCCATGCCAACAGCTATTAGCCAGACTTGAACCAGTGCTCATATATCCAAGAAGGTCAGGATATTTGGCTGAAGACTCTGCATAAACCCCACTCCTCCTCATTCCAAACCCCTCCCCTTTCAGAAAAACTGCCAAAAGTCCAGGTTCCTTCCTAAGTCAATAGCTGCTCAAGAACATGTCCTAACCTCTAGAATGGCCATGTGATTTTCTCCTCTTTCCTTCCCCCACCTCACCTCTGAGGGGCGGGAAAGTCACACAAGAGCACTTCACCCAGTAAACCTGGTCTTTTTTAATCCAGCTTTATATGGTTTACTGTGTCAGCAGAGAATCAAACTATGGGAGTACAAAAAATGTCTATCACATGTTGCTTGCTTACAATTAATAACAATTTAGTTTTGGAAATAAGATAGGTATCTGTCAGTGGATGTGCAAAATGTGATATGAATAAATCATAACATATTATGAAGCCAAGAAGACAGAAATTATATCTTTTCAAGAAAATGAACAAAACTTTAAATGATTTTTGCCAAGTGAAATAAGTGATACATGGAAAGGCAATTTATACACTAATTTCACTGTATGTAGAACATAAAATTTTAGAGAATGTATGATAGGATGAAGGGGATACAGACTAGAGGAAGGACATCAAGAGGAGGGAAGCAAAGAAGGATAATGAGAAGAGGAAATTATGACAGTATTAAATATGTGAATGAGGTTATCAGAGTGAAGCCTGTTATTCTATATAATTAACACAAAATATGACAAATAATAGAGATTACCTTTGCTGTTGCATGGACTGACGACATCTACACTGAGTCTATAGATGTTTCCCTTTCTCTCTTCATACTTCAACAACTGAAAACATCAACCAAAAGCAAAGAATGGTTTTACATTATTATTGGATATAAAATATTATTTTTCCATCTCTACACCAAATACATTTTGCAATGAATTCTGTCTGTTGTATAGGATACTCTTTGCTTCATGAGTTCTTGTGTCTATATGTTTGTAGTAGTGGCTGGACTAGTCTGCTTGACTTGTCATCCCCTTATGGGTCATTGTGATGGTCAGTGTTTAAAATAATACAAACTTGTGATACCCATTTTTTTAAAATTATTATTCCCTCATACAATGCAGTCCCCACCTCCTTCCTGCCCCTTCTCCCACCTTTCTCCTCCCCCCAGATCTACTTGTTCTCAGTTTCTCATCAGAAAAGAGCAGACTTCCAAGGGAAATAAATGGAACAGAGCATAACAAGATACAATAAGATGAGTCACAAACCCTCATATCAGGGTTAGGGGAGGCAACCCAGTAGAGGGGAAGGGTCCCAAAAGCAGAAAAAAGAGTCAGAGACACCCCCCAGTATATATTGACCTTCAGCTACTAGAGTGAAATAGTAATTTCTTATAAATCATAAACATTTGTGTTTGCACTGGTAATTGTATTTAATGACTTATTATGCTAATATTTGAACAGGAGTTATTATTCATATATAACTGTAGTATAAAAGTGTTAGCATAAATCAATTTTAAATTTTTAATAAGCATTTTATTAATGAATCACTGAATGGCACAAAATATGCCTTTGATTGAGCTAGGTAATTGTTCTATTTCATTATGTCACTCAACAGAGGTACACACTGAGTTGATAAATGTAAAACTAATAATTAATGCCATTGTTCAGAGAATCTAATATATTATGTGCTTATAAATGAATAAAATTAGAAAAAAACTGGTGATGACATATTTTTAGCTTTATTATTTCCTTTTGGTGAATACATGTTTTTGTTCAGAGCAGTAATTCTCTAACATAAAATGTCCTCTATGCTACTGAAATTGCACAGTTCGAGTGGGAAAAGTCACAGTAACTCCAAGAATTATTTTACTTGAGAAATATAAATCAAATGAAATATAAAACCATAGATAAAAGGATATTCACATCTAAATTTAGACTCAAATTTCAATATATAAATCAAAGATTTGTATAATTTCACCAATATTGGAAAGCTTGTTTAAAATATTGTTAAACAGAAATAGTTCCTCATTTATTCTTCATTACATTCATGACATCTGCCGCTGAGAGAATTTAAAATAGTTTATGTTAGAGTCCTAATAAAAATTAACAACTTACTTGTCCTGTTATATCACTGTGTTCTTTTTCTGGCTATCTATATGTGCCACGGAGCTGCACTTAAGTATACCTTAATAATTCTAAGGCTGCTTACCCCAGATTCCCTATAATTGAACCTGTTTAGACTTCATAAGGAAATGAATCAGTATGTAGGATGTTTCTATATCATGACAGCAAGATTAGTTCAAAAATGAAAAATTCAGACAATCAACCAGCTGTTTCATATACAAAATGCCAAACAGCTGGTTTTCCTGACTTGTTTTTCTCACTAACTTGATTGAAACAGCAGGGTTGATTGTGTTGTGCAAATATAGCCTCGGAGCAGGAAAATTAGGGAGTAAAAAATCTTGACTTTATTGTTGACTTTTAAAAGCCCGGATTCAGAGACTCTAAAGCTATAGTGTCAGCGACTTGAACAGACTGCTTTCCATTGTGTTCACAGTTGAGTCAGTAAGATGTTTACAAAAGAACTCGGTAACTGCAGATGATTTTAATCACCACAGTTATTACCATTTCTTTTTGTTCCTTGGTGACCTTCAAAGCATGCTTTTCCCAAGTCTAGACAAATGTACTAAGGATTGCTTAGATCTTTATTAAAACCCTTTCCACACACACACCAATAATACACCTCAAGAGATGGCCTTTTACTAGATAAATATTTGTACAGTGAAGTGGATGGCATAACGCACTCTATTTCACTGCCCCAGATGAATGAGAAATATAAGCTGAGGCCATAGAGGGGCTGGGTTTTTGTTATTCGTGTATTGGATCACAAGCCTTTGCCACTTGCTGCTAAGGGTTATTTAAACATCTTACCCATACCACTTGGGAGATATTGGAAAGTATTAAAATGATAATTGGTACATTCATAACAAAAGTCAACAGACTGTCAGCTATCAAGAGGAAGGCTCTAATGGGATAATGGGATGAACGAACAGCATACAGATCGAGAATAAGAAAGAAGTATGAAGAAAATGAGAACTCTAAAGAGAAAGGTATCTCAAAAAAAAAATCAAGATCATTCTTCAGTGGGAATAGCAGAACAATGCCCCATGTTAAAATGAATGTGTTACCTGCACAGTGAAGACTTCAAATAAAGACACTCCACTTACAAGTCATTAGGTTGCTTGTATATATATAATTTTTTTCTCTATTGAATTTTCACTACAAGAAGAACAAGATTAATATTATATACCAATTAAATATGTGACCTTCAGCAAGGAGAGGTTTGATTACCAAATTACACAATCAGATTTTGCTAATCAAGATGGAATCTAAAAATAAACTAGACTACACATACAAGTCAGAAGGAATGAAAGAAGGGAGAAAAAAAAAGAAATATGACACAAGGAAAGAGAGGGAGAAAAGGAATTTAATTACAGGTACCTTTTTCTGTGCTTTCCATACTTTAAATTTCTTCAAGCTTCCCTGCTGTGGAGGCAGCCATTGTTCTCAGGGGAGCTAATTATACTAAGAAGCTTGCCTTCCTGGTGGGCTCTAATAAGCACAGTTCATCCCAGAACTTTACCAGTGTGTGTCAAAGACCCACAACTGTGTGGGACTGATGCTAGGGGCAAGCAGTAGAGAGCTCAGTAATGTAGCTGCAGTAAACACACACTCCATTACCAGGACACTAGTGAAATAGTACAGAAGCCTCAGGAATAGGAAGTGTGGTTTCATTAATGCTGAACCATAGGGGTCAAAGAACTAATGAAAGGGCTAAAGGGATAATGATCCTACCTATGATAAACACTGTTTACCATGTAGTCTTGAGCAGACTTCTGTGTTTGGAGTCACATGGAGGGGACCACGTTAGCCATCTGCTCACTGCACTACTAGCCATTTTTCCCCTGCTTGCTTAGTTACAAAGAACAGTGACCTAAAAGACAGTGAAAAAGGCAAACAATGTTATACTGGGAGAAATATAGAAAGAAAAGGAAAGGAATAAAATCAGGGCAGTATATAAACAAGCAAGTCTGTAATTATAGCTTTATTAGACAATGCTTATTCCAATTTATACTTGAATTCTTAAATGCTCACCTGAGTTAATTTCTCAACGATGTGACCTGTGATTATGGATTAGGTTCTCCTTGTATCTAGTACATATCTAAAATAAGAAGTAATGCCGTTTCAGTGAGTTAGAGAACTTGAAGTCCTTGGATGAAACAGAATGCACACTCACGAGAGCACACTCACTCAGTAGCCTTTTGGTTTATTGTAGATTATTAAACTCTTGGCTTATATTATGAATTTATGTTGTGATTGTTTTAGTTTTTGGGACAAAGCAGTGTCAATAAGTATGGAGGAAGTATGGAGGAGACAGTGTTTATTGTATTGGTACCACACTGAGTAAAACTTCCATACATGATTTTAAACAACCACCTAAATCAATTTTTAAGAAGGAACTCAAGGCTGCTCTCATGGCTGCTCTGTGACTACACATTTTTAAATGAAAATTGGCTGATTTCAATGGACAAATATGAATTATCATAAAACAACAAACAAAACATTCCTTTTGGACCTTTTCCAGTAAGTAATAGAGTAAACAACTCTGCCAAACTTTATAACCAGCACACTAAGGGCAGAGATTCCAAAGCTCCCTTTGGATACCAGTCTTGCTATGCTTAGTTGTGAACACATAGAAGATTGCTTCTTTGGCTATACAGACACATCGATGCTCTGTGGGAAGATTCTTTGAAATTTTCCACTGGTAATTCCAAGAGCAGGCTTTATAATGACCTTATGGAAACAGCCTGGTTTTCAACACATCCCTGTTGCTTCAATTGAACGAAGTTGGCAGGCTGTAACAAATAGCACAGCAGTCCTTCTTTTCTGGTGTCCAATTCAAATCCATTCATCCCACTTGGGAGAAAAACTGTGATTTAGTCTCAGGATTTATAGCATGAAAGCAGATGTACTGCTTAAAGTTTATGGAACTGACAACAAAAATACCTCCATGAAGTTCAGAGTCAAAAGCTAACTCTTTGTGAAATGAAATAAGTCTATATAGACTGCCTTTAAAAAAGAAAACAATGTACTTTAAGAGTAAAAGGAACAACACAAAAAAATGGAAGGAAAAAGGAAATCTGCAAAAGGAATGTGGTAAAGTAGTCATGTAAAAATCAGCTGCACAATATTATTGTAGATTATTAAACTCTATTTTGTCCCCTGCTGCAGTTCTTTTTGAAATAATAATGTATGATTCATGAAAATTAGAAAACCTCATGTGTGTTTACTGAAGAAGCAGGATAAATATGTGGCTTTGAATTTGCAGACAGCTTTTGGCTTCAAATGATTTCATTTAAATATGTATTTTAAAGTTTGTAATAGTATAGAAGCTATGTGAAGTAACTAGAAATTCTAATTTAAAGTTTTATTTTATTTTTCTCTTTTTTTTCAGGGTAAGAATAAATGATACAATAGTGTGTTATTGGTCTACAGCTTACAATCAGCCAGCCATGAGGGTAAACATCCAACATTTTGCCATGTAAAAGATTGGTACAGATTTTTTTAGAGTCACAGGGTCTATAAAGTATATGATTTTATACATAACAAGACAAAGAAAACCCAACAACATTTTGTGGCTGGAAAGATGGCTTTCTGGTTAAGAGCTCTGGATGCTATTTCAGAGTGCCTGTATTGCGTTCTTAGCACCATCATAGAAGTTCATAAGCATCTATGGCTCAGGATCTGTCTTCTGAAGTAGTGCATAGATATCCACGAAGGCAAAGCAACTATAAAATTAATGTCTAAAATGTAGGTCATTCTATCTAACATTTATCCAATGTATTATTCTGAAAAAAATTAAGTCAGATAGGTTAAGTGAAAATATTTGCTTACTTAGTGCAGTGGGAAGAATTCAATGGCCATGACAATGACAGTAGTTCCATTTGTTCTACAAAGCATTTTTGACATATGTTTTTAGTTTTAGAAAGGTTTTTTAAGAGCATCTGTAATTTCCATTTACTAATATAGGGATGATAGTAACATAGTTTATGATATATGGATATTCTTCTGCAAGAACTTTTTTCAAATGCTACAAAATATGCAAAGGATCTCAGCACATAGAAGTTGTAGCCAATGACCTTCATTCGTCTGGTAGAATTGCTATCACTGTGAAAGGATTGTTCTTACTGATTTTTGTCTTGTGTGTTCAAAAAGTATCCTTCAGTATAGACACGATGTATCATCTAACATTTTTAATATATAATGTTTTTAATATATAATACATATCATATGTAATAATGAAAAATAAAGAAAACAATTAAAGGTCAAATGTCAGATATGACAAAAACAATGGTAGGTTCTCTTGTCTTATAAGGCTTTCAAATACCTGATTATCTGCACTTCAAGTGAAGTAAAATATAAATCTGTGTCAGCCAGAAATCAGTTCTGAAATATTTTCCCAAGATATTGCTGAGCGCTATTTGTAATGCTCTTGACAACTGGTACTTGTATGCAGAGGTCGATGTATCACACTGATGGGGGAAGTCCTGTGTATATGTCAATAACACACTGTTGGCCAATAGGGAAGTAAGATAGGTGGGACTAGGAGTCGAGGAGAACTCTGGGTAGGAGAAACACAGAAAGTCAAGATGTAACTTCCATGGGGTAGGAAGCTCAGAAATTTCTCTGGTAAGAGAAATACTTAGATTAACAATTATTGGGTAAATACTTAAGTCAGAGCTAGCCGGTAAGAAACAAGCACGGCCAACAGCTTCATATTTAATATAGCCTTCTGTGTTATTTGGGACTGATGCGGCTCTGGAACCAGGCTAGCGGGAAGGCTTCTCTTTACACCACACAGCTGAAAGTTGATGGGTTTTTTCCCCCAGGGAATAAAATAGCTCTGGTTCGTCACAATAGTTCTGTCCTTTCAAATCCTAGGGAAAATCTTTTCACCTGCTTAATGGCTTCACAGGATGCCTACAAAGGAAGAGTATTTCTTATAATCTGATTTAATTTCACAAGTGAAAGCTAAGCATGATGCTGCTGTGGGACAGCAGAGAAAAGGAAAGAATGAATCTGCAAGAGATTAATTATTGTTCATACCATCATCCCCAGCCTTTGGGCACCTGTGGCAGGAGGACAGCCTGGACTAGAGTGAGAGACCCTGATTCAGAAACAAAAATCAAAACCAAACAAGGGAGTAAGCAGACAAAATTATATAACCTCTCATGGTCCTGATCCTGGATATTATAAAAATTTTAAATGCATACATTTACAAAATAAACAAAACAGTATTGAAACTAACAACTGGATCATGGCCTAGCTTTAATCCTTGTCCTGTGAACTAACTAATGTTGTTGAAGCGCTTCTAAACTATATTTCCTTAAGTGGTAAAAGGTAATTCAAGCAAATATTAGGTGTTAAATTCACCCCATCTATCTGTCTGTCTATAATCTATCTATCTATCTATCTATCTATCTATCTATCTATCTATCTACCTATCTATCCATCTATTTATAGATATCTATTTATTTTTGTGTGTGTGTGTGTGTTTGTGTGTGTGTGTTTATGTATGTGTGCATCTGTGGAAATATGCTTGACATTGTGATGTGTGGAGGTCACAGGACAACTTTTATGAGTCAGTTCTTTCTGTCTACCTTGTGCTTTCAAGTAATGAAACAAACTAAGGTTTCCTGCCTGCTACCTGGTGTAGTTATCTAATGACCCATCTTTCCTGGTCCTTGATATGATGACTTAGCAAGCTACAAATACTTATTTCTTTTAGGTGTCCTTAGCATTTCCTGAGCAAGTTAAATTATACTAAGCATGAATAATAGAAATATATAAGAAAGTTTCAAGTGATTCCATCTATACTCAGATTCTTCTCTGTAGACACTGAGTTTATAACCTGATATGCATCATTCATGGCTTTAAAAGGTTTTGGTAAGGAGAATTTACATTCAGGCAAAACTCAGAACATGTCTCATTCCCTCCAGGAATTTTTGAACTGCAGCTGAGCTGGTCCACAAAAAACATTGTCCTCTTGTATCTTTTTTCCCTAGGTCTCCTCACTCAAGTCATTCCATTCCCTACACTGTTAAAGCTATGTATAGACTGCATGTGAAAGTCATTTTGTAAGGGCCAGATCTGCCTAAGAAAATGTAGTCACACTTGAATTGTACACATTAAAGTGAGGGGAGAAGAACATTTCTACTCCACCACATTAAACAGAGCAGACTGGGCCCTTAAACTATAATGCAATTTCCTAATGCAGTTTGGTAAAATCAGCTCAGTTAGTTGTCTTTTCCTCCTCTCCTCTCCTCTCCTCTCCTCTCCTCTCCTCTCCTCTCCTCTGCTCTTGATATATATTTTTAAAACTTTTAACATTAAATTCTTGAGGGAGATAGTTTCTCCTTATGTTGTTCAACTCTTCTCTTTAACTCTTAGATAAATCTCTGTGTTATTAGCTATCTGGCTGAGAAGACACCACATTTCTTTTTTGAATTGGTTCAGGGTCTTGAAGTTTATTCAAATCCTCTTCTATATCAGAGAATTATAGGAGCTAAGACAGGACACCATTGTCATTGCTCTCAGAAATGAAAACATTCCTGGTAATAATTATTAGGAAGTCTTTCTCATAAAGTGGGAGAACATGACTGTTAGGTAACCTTCCAGGCTCCTTTAACAGAGATCAAATTTTTCTTAAATTATGAGAATATTTGTATGTGGGGTAGGATGTCTTGGGGTAGATGGGTATGTAATATATGAACATGTATCTGTGAATGCATGTACTTTGTGAGCATTCACAGTCAGAATAAGGTGTTAGGTGTTGCCCTCTATTTATCAAAACCTGGCTCCTTCAAAGGCCTCTAGCTGTATCTGAAGTTTGCAAGTTTTTGCCTAGGTTGGTAGGCAACATGGAGTTTGCTAATTGTTGTCTGGGCTGGTAGGCAATATTCCCTGGTGATTTTTCTCTTTCCAGTCCCCATAGTGCTGTAGTTAGAGGTGTGTCTGATTTCAGATGGGTGTTGGGACCTGATCCCTTGTCTCTATATTTGTTTAGAAAGTGCTATTAAATGCTGGGTTGTCTCTTTAGGTCCAAGGTTGACACATAAATTCAGTAGATTAATAGAGAACTAAAGTTTTAAGGATAGTATGCTTTTTCTGGAGCACATTCCCTTTTTTCTTTACATTTCCATATTGGCCTTCATTAGAAACAAAAGATGGAAAGCATCTTTCAACCTTTCTGTATCATGAAAGATGATAGATCTGTGTATTACACTGCCAGAGGTGCTCCAGTTGACATTTTCTGCCACTTGCAACCTTTGATCTCTAAATAAGAGATATAGACTGGCTTTCTCTCTTGCTTTCCGTCTCTGATAACTATGCCTAAGGAAATGGATACAACTTAAAAAAGAAAAATGTTAATAATCGAGCAGATTATTTTACACCCCCTCCATATGATATGCTGCATCTCATTGAGTAAAGTTAGAATTTTAACATTAGATGTATTTGTTTTTGTTTGTTTGTTTGCTTGCTTGCCTGATTAATTATTTCCCTTTGGCGACTTGCTACCTAGCTCCCAAAGAAATACATGGAGACTTATTATTATTCTTGAATGCCATGCATTAACTGTGCTTGTTTCTAGTTAGCCTTTCAAATTTAAATTAGACCAGACTCTGTCTTGAACAGTAGATCTGTGCAAAACATAAAAACATAGGGAAAGAGTTAAGCTTGGCAAATTGGAAGAGGGAGAATTACAGAACTAAATGAAGGAAATGAATGAATGAGTGAGTGAAGGAACAGAAAACAGTGAGAATTTAAGGATAAATGAAAAGTGTTGAACAGAGTGTTTAGAATCAATAAGGGCACTGATCAAGGCAAGTATCCATACTGCCCAGGAATTGCAAATGCCAAACAATTGCTGATATATATTGTTTTAGGTCTGTTATCCAAGTTGTATCTTTCTTAAATTGAAGAGACCAGGAACAGCGCACCAAAAAAGGTGATTCTTAATCCCTTGTTTCTAAGTGCTTTTCATATAGTTTATATTTTTATTTCAATTAAAAAAAATATATATCATCATTATGAATATAGAAAGCCTGCATTGCTTATAATGCTTGTAGTTATGTTACATCACTTCTAATAGCTTTAACCTAACTAGTCGTATAAATTATGAAATTAGAATAGTATATCCAAGAAGACTGTGCTATTGTAATAAATAGTCTCCTGTGCTTCGCTGTGTACAGATTTTGTTTCCTAACTTGGAAACCTAGATTTTTCTGCTTTGCTAAAAGGGAAGAATTATAACATATTTTTTCACAATTTTGAACAATTTGTCTCTTGTTAAACTAGTAGGATATATTGTCTAAATTTATTTTACTTCAAGTAAGAGGAAATATTTTCTTGCGAAATGAAAGAAATGACACCTGAGTCTGGAGTTTGGTGGATTATTATACATTGCAGCACTAATAAACAGAGAGTATTAATCTGCTTTTGATGAATTTCCCAGTCCATAAAAGGTGGTAATAAATTTGACTTTCTTTGTGGCTTCTGAATGACTACAAACAAATAATTTACTTTTAAAATTATGTTGACTCACTTTTTTATAGATGCTAAGCAACTTAAACCTATTATACCTATCACACACATCAGACTTTTAGTAGAAAATGATAATGTATATCACTTGCTTTTTAGTTTATTTCTAATGTCATCAGTTTATAGAGCTGTTTTTAATAACAGTTTATGAAATTAATTATTGTGTAAGTTGTTTAGTATTTGAAGTAGAGAACTAGTAATCTAAAATCCCTTCTGGAATGATCATTTCAACTTTGTCACAGAAATTGGAAATGTCAATTTTTGTTTTGAAAAGGTAGTATTTTTCCACTAGACAGTTTCTCAGTAATAATTCTGACCTAATTGAAAAGATTAGTCATCAAAACTACACAGGAAGTTATTTCAATGGCTGATTTAATGTATATAAAGAAGAGGGGTGATGGCTCATTTCATAGGTTGCCTTGTGCCCAAGAATTGGGTTCACAAAACCCGTGTTTTAAAAAGTCAGGTATCATGATCCATTCCTGTAGTCTTAGCACATGGACAATATAGAGACAGGATGATTCCTGGAGGCCTGCTGGCCAGTGAGTCCATATGAAAAGACAAGTTCCAGGTTTAGTGAGAGGCCATGTCTTTTTGTGAGCTGTATGGCTTAGTTTCAGAATAGCATATGATT